CTTGTTAAACAAGTACACCTTATTTTAGAATATGATTTTAAGAAACTCTGTATCATGATATAAACAGAGTTCCCTCTCGTTATTCTCGCTATTACATCTTGTTTAAGGGTGTGGCAGTTTGCTATTAGCTATAGATTGTTCGAAATATTGTAATATTTTTTTACACCATTTATATTTAAGGCTATTTCAGTTAAACAATTGTCAAAAATATAATGCGTAATATTATTTATTATATGGCATATACATGCTAGCGTTTCGTCATCTTTGAATGCACTTATAAGATTTGCTCCGTTATCACTCACAACTATACATTTATTTAAGTAATTTTCTACTTCTGTATATTCTCCTAAAATTGAATTGACTACACTTATAATTTTGACGTTTTTTTCATTCATTGCCTTGGCCAAAACAAATGTTTTTGATTAAAATTCTTAATGATAATTTAATATGTCCTATAATGGTTAAAAAAACTTAGATTTTTATAGTCATCCGTCCATCAGTGATAAGTAATTATTATTGATCATGCTTTTAATCTTAATTTTATTTCATGGTATATTTTTGGACCTATAGTATTCATGAGATTTTTCTAGTTCACAACTTTTTTATTTTGTTATCCATATGTAACACCAACATTTATCTCTTGGCCTAGCTTGTAAAATTCTTCACTTTCTGTTGCATTTAAAGATTGAAGATCTTTACAATAAAATATAACTGACTTTTCTTTAAAAAGTTTAAGCAAAATTTAGCTGAAAGTTTCGCGATAAAAACACCTAAACATAAAAAGAAAATAGAACTAACGAAATGATACCGGATGTTGTTTATAAAATGCGGAAGATTTTTAGTTTTCATAAATTATTCTTTTTTAAAAAAGAACTAAATTAAATAAGAAAATATATAATATAATTATAAAATTGCAAATTTATAATTATAAAATTGCAAATTTATATTTATAAAAAAACAATTTTAAAAATTAAAATTTCCGTGATTCACGGGAAATTTATGTTCACGCTAGATCACGCCCGGAGAAAATTTTGGGAAGGCCCGTCACGCCCAATCACGCCTTGGAATTTAAAATTTATTCACACTCACGCCGTCACGCGTAATTTCACGGCCCGCGCCCACCTCTAAAAGGAACTAATTTTTTAAAAAAAAACCAATTCTATTTCATGAACACTATCAATTCTACAGCACTACTTAACATTCATATCCTGCTTATATTTACTATTTCTCTTTGAATGGAGGCCGGGGATGGTTGGGACACTTTTTGTTCAAACCTTAATAATTTTAATATTAATAGACTAATCTGAATAATTAAAACATCTTCTGAATCCCAGAATTATAGGCTATTTGAAATAATTAATATATATTTTATGAAGATTATATTTTTTTAGAAAATTGAATTTAAAAAAAAAAAATTTTTGTCCCAACTATGACAGATTCTGTGTTCGTTGGGACACATATATGTGATAGTTGGGACACTCGTGAAATAGAGGTCTAAATAAATTTAAAAATTTTAAATCAGTAATCCAGTAAGACTAGAGACTATGACACATATGATTTTATTGATAATATTGTAATTCATAAATAATAACTATATAAAAAAAATTTTAGCAAAATTTAGGAAATTTATTTTGGGGAAAAAAAAATTGTAAAGAAAAAAATGTAAAAAATTTTTTTTTTTTAATCATAAACATAGCGAAAGATAAGTATTTAATTATTCATTATTCACAATACTAAATTAATAATAAAATAATAAAATTGTTTATAAAATGAGCTAAAATGGCGTGTCCCAACTATACTATGACCAACTATGACCGAGTCCACTAACTTTATAAATATCATCCAAAATCATATTAATTCATGTTTATTGATTCTGAAAGTTTGTCAGATTGGGAAATTGGGTTTAGGCTTTCCTAAAATATATTTATTATGATTTTTGAAGCTTTATTTATATATATAAACGATAAAGTTTGCAAATATTTTTTATTACTTTTGGTATGCCAAAACACATTTTCTTCTGTAAAAATTAAAATACTAAATATTTTTCAAATCTTTTTTATCCAATCATGTATGACTAAATTATCTATGTTAGGCTCAAATTTCCAGTCTTATAAAATAATAGCTCAAATTATAATTAGAATGTCCTAACGTTCCCCTGTACTCAATGTACCCCGGTCTCCCTACTGCCAAATTTCTTTAAATAAAAAATCCAGACTGGGCCGTTTAATAAACAAATATAAAAATCTGGGCTGGAATCAAAATTTAGATACCCAGATATATTTGTAAAATCCTTGCAAAGTTTAAAATTTTGACCCTTATAGGTCTTTGATTTTTTTTATATAAAAATAAATAAATATCAATAAGGTTTTTAACAATATTTTTGCATGAATTATATTGAAGCAATGATTTATTTATTTCATCCAAATTTAATATTTAACAAATCTAATAACTCATTCGATATAAATAAAACCAAAAATTAGACACCTTGTTTATTTTTAAAAAATATAGTAAAATGTGTGATAATTTGAGCAATCAGTAAATTGTGTATAAATTTGACTCTTGCTTAAATATATAAAATGCCAATTGCTTAAAATTTCTAAAAAAAACTAAATCCGGAATAATGCCTCAAATTAGGAATGCTTACAAATTCAGATTTTAAATAGAACATTAGACAATTTTAATATATATTGCGTGCTTTTATTTAATATATAATATTTTCGAGTTTATATGTCCAATATTTATGCAATCCTATATAATAAAAGGTAAAATTGCTTGTTATTTTATTTCTACAAAATTTATTAAATTATAATGTCCCTTTTTAAAAAATAATATTAGGAAATAGCCCATTATTCAAATCACAGGACAAATATTTGGAACCTTTTTTTAAAAAAAAAGAGATATGTTTTGATATTAAACGACTCAAATGCTGCACATAATTCTCAACATAATTTGTATTGATTATTTGCATTTTAAAATAATCAGTTCTCTTCTAAAAGGAAATAGATGCAGATATATAAAAATAATTATATGTATGAATATAATATAACTAATCATAAGAATTAACAACAGTATATGAAAATATATATGACTTTAATAATAATTGTAAATTTGGAGCAACAATAAATATAAATATTATAATGTAAATTTCCATAAGATGGATAGTTGTAATTACGATGACAAAAACAATAATAATAATGATAAGAATATTTTTAATAATCCTGCTAAATATACGATAACATCGGGGAAAAGAGGCAAAAATTTTATCTGCTATTATTTTATTTTCTATGTTGAAGAATGGACAAAAACTAAAAATATTATCAGTTTCGAAATTATAATCGAAACATTATTCAAAATCTTGATCTGTTGCAATATTTTAAATTCGGTACTGTGTTATGATTTTAAAAATATAAATCAACCAATATTCTTGGATAGATTTAACTTCAATTTCGTGAGTGACAATAATATCAGTAAAGATAATAAGTCCTTATTAAAAATCTTATATCTGATGCCACATATGAATGCGAGTGTAAATTTTATATACATATTTAAGTTTAAGAATTTGAAAAAAGTTTCAAACCCCCTCGGAAATTTTACCTTTTACGGCAAATATCGCTATTCTTTGGATTATAACGCAATTATTTTAACAGGCAGCAGTGAGGTAAACAAATCTTATAATTATAAGCCGGTGAGTTATATTAAATCTAATAAACCAGTCACTAAATATTTAGATATATCTGACTTTACTGTGTTTGATAAAATATATTTAACATTACGTCAATTTCGGTATATTGATTTTAGAAATAGTTTATCTAACTCTAAAAATTCGAGCCTTTATCAATCACTAATATTAATATCTATCAATTGCCATTCAAACATCACAAAATGTAATTATTATCAATTGGTAAATTCCCTGAAGGACTGTATTTCGTATTATTTCGCTACTTTCAACTTCCAGAACAAAATAACTACCGTTTATTCAATTATGAAAACTTGTAATCAACTAATATATTATCATCCAAAGAACAATCAATTAAGAAATTTGTCAAAAAATAGAACGTCTAAATTTATCCAAAGATTTAGTGACACTGATAAATACCTAACTATAATTTCACCATATATCGATGAAGACATATTATATCACCGCTATTCTAAAATTCAAAACATGACAAATGAATTTCTCGACTCAATTTTTAATCCAATTGAACCCTTGTTAAATATAAATACTATTGATCAACGAGGTTTAATCCCATTATCAAAAGAAATATTGTTTGACAATGAAAATCAGTACTTCAAGTTTGATTCACCAAATTCAAACATTCTTATAAATGGTCCACATCACCTTGAAACCTTAAAATATTATAATTTTCCAAATAATTCTTTAATGAATATCTCAAATGCTTCTCTCATTTTAAATAATTATACCCACAGGCATTTTTTTAATACTACTCATATCAAAATACTCACGAGTAAAAATAGTTCTTGCTTATTTCTCAACATATTAAATGAAAACCTTTTTATCAGTAGTTTGAAAGAAAATAACATATATAATATTATTTTTGGAATTCTTCCAAAGCCCATTCCTATCAACGATAAAGGGTGTTGTTTTTATATATGTCCATTCCCCTTTAAAACTGCAACAAATTTTACGAAGAAAAGGGTAAAGTTTAGAAAAACAAAGATGCCAATATTTACAGGTAGAAAATATTTATAATTTTTTTAAATATTTTTATTACTTACATAAAATAGTATTATACATAAATTATGCAAATAAATATCTTAAAATTAATATATATATTTTTTATAAAATATATATAAAAAAAATTAAACGATTATATGGTATAAAAATCAATATGAAATTAAATTTTCTTTTAAAATATTATATAGTAACATATAATTTATTGCATTAAAATTAATGAAAAAGCGAAAAAAAATTTTTCGTTTTGTTCTTTTTTCTTAAAATTCTTTTAAGTTAAAGTTTTTATTAGGATCAATATTTGCATTTTTTTAAAAAACTGTTAAATTTTTTTATTACTATCTTACCTGCATTTAAAATTCCTTTTTTTTTCTTAAAAATAAGTAGAATACAATAAAACATCTCATGTTAAAACTGGATATAATACAATTACTGATTCTAATGGTATAAACTATAACACAAATATAACTGAAAAATTTATCGAATGTTCAAAGTATTTAAATCTAACTGATACAGTACTACAGGTGAATGAAAATCTATGGCATATTTCTAATCATTCATATTCATTTAATAAAAGTATAAATTCTTTCTCATCGTATTATTATCATAACCAATCGATTGCGGCAACAACCAAAACCACTATTCAATTTAATATGGGGATAAGGGAGGATATTATAGTGTTTAATAGCACAGTAAATAACAATATTAGCCATTATACATCTAATATCGTTACTCAAAAGGAAAAATCATTTGCTTATTGGGCTCTATTGTTATCAAGTGTCCCAATCATGACAATATTCGGAAACGTCTTAGTGATACTGAGCGTTTACAGGGAAAAAAATTTACATACCATCACAAATTATTTTATAGTGAGCTTGGCTTTTGCGGATATATTCGTGGCCACATTAGTTATGCCCTTTGCTGTTTACATTGAGGTAATAAATTTTTAAAAATTAACATATTTATTAGTGAGTGTGGAATATTAATATTTATTTGAATATTTGAGTTTATGCATTCCATTTTTATAATCTGGGCATTGAAAATCTAGCGTCGTTAATTTTAATTTTATACGGATGAAACATTTGAATGCGAAAATATTAATCCATAATTTTAATAAATGAAGGTTTTTTTTTATAGACTTATAACTTTAAATTGTACATAAATGAAAATTAATTTTACGATAAACCAACAGAGGATATTAAAATCCTATAAGCAATTGTAGTTTAGCTTTATTCATTAAAAATTTTGTTTGGAATTAATAAGAGTTTATAATTTATTAATACTTAATCGTTTTTTTCAGACTTTCTTCTATATCGTGTTTCTTTGTAAAAGTTATAAAATATAGTTTTAAAGGAAATTTTAATGAAAATAGGTAGCCAAAACGACAATTGCATCGTCGTTTCTATACAAAGCCAAAATTAAATTTATATCCTTGTTATAAATAAATGTCTTTAAATTATAAAATGTTTAAATAGATCCATTCCAAATGTAAAAGAATGTATAAGAAATGACTTTTATTTAAAAAAAAAAAATCCTTTGACGATTTAATTTAACTAAAATATAGATAAAAAAAATTGATAATTTTTGATTTGATTTTTTTATAAAATGTTTAGTTAATCTCATTTTTAACTTGGGGATTAGTTCTTGGAATCATCTGTTAAAAACATCTATTTTAAAAAATATATTAAATCTTAATTTGTTGGTTAAAATTATATTTCATACATTCATAAATTGTGTATAAATGTATATTTTAGACTGATCATATATTTCCTAAGAGTATTTTGTAAGACTTGACGTGAGCTTGATTTACTTTATATGTATGATAAGGATTAGCTAGTGTATGAAAAATTACTTGTATAATATATATTTTTTTAATCTAGTATATTTTGTCCAATCACCAAAATGTAAACGCATCCCAAAAAATACAATAATTTAAAAAACATTAATCGCAATTTGCAAACTAGATATAATATAACCAAATTTTCTTCAAATAAAAACATTGTATACTACTTTTTTTTACCAGTCACGAAAATGGGTCAATTAAGTTTTAGAAAATTTTTTATATTTAATCGATAGACTATATATAAAAAAATATTGTCTTCAATTTTTTAAAAAAATCTTCAATTTAAAAAAAAATATATAATTGAAAATGTTCAGTGATTAATATTTTGTTCTCTTTTTTGTTTATTAGGGAGGCACTCAACTCAAATTAAATAAAAGTTGAAAATGAAGTCTCAGAACTTGATATTATAATTAAGCACCATATCAAGTTTAAAAATGCGAGTTTAAGCTTTATTTTCTTCTCATCATTGCTTTATTGCCAGCTGTGATGCATACTATCCTAGTATTTTTTTGCAATATAAAATTTGAAACATGTAAAATATTAGTGTCGTTAAACGGCTCGATTTGAGCGGATTAAAAACTGCAACTCAATATTTAATTCAGAGAAATATTAGATTTTGGTCCTAGATGGCAAATTGACATATATTAGTGAAATCTCGAGGTTAAGGCTATAATTTTCTGGATAAAAATATTGAGTTCGCACTTTTTAAATCGGCTAAAGAATTTTCTTATCCTAAGACAAAATATATAAATAACATATTTAAATATAATTATTGAGCTTTTTGGGACTCAATTGTGTTTTTCATAATTGTGCCCCCCCCCCTTTTAACATATTTTTGTATATAATATTGTTTTTTTATAGTATACTAGTTGATAATCCGCCAAGAATGACGGGAATAATAAAATCTTGAACTATTATATGAAATTTTTTTTTAAATACATTATTTTATATAAAATAAATGACAAATTTTAGAGTGATTATTTATTCATTTTATTAAATTTAGAGTAAAATATATGAAATTGTAATCAAAAATGTAGGGAAGATATTGATAAATTGGTGTTGTATGTCATTTCCAGAGTTCAAATATTGTTGTTGAGATAAAATTTTTATACTGGCATATTTTGGGGTGGTAATATGAGATAAATGTTTTTCAATTGGCTAAATATAATTTAAATTTATTTGTTAAATCTAAATTGTAATAAGTACTTAGGATTAGTGAGGAAGGTTAATTTTCTGGCATGGGAAGATATTGATAAATAGGTATTTTATTCTATTTGCAAAGCTCGCATATTGTGGTTGAGATAAAAAAAAATTTTACTGCCATATTTTGGGGTGGTAAATAATTTAAATTTATTTGTAAATCTAAATTGTAATATAAAAATAATTTTATAAAAATTAATAAATTTTACTTTGATTGAATATAAATATACGTTATTTTAATTGGCTAAATATAATTTAATTTGCTATATTAAATTTAATAATATTCATTCTTACCATATTGAGGTGAGGTTAGTATTCTTTTTAATATAACACAATAAGATCTCAATTATATAAATTAATTGAAAAATAAATGTTAATAGCAAAATAATAACATATATAAGAAATATTATATTACAAAATTTAATATAGAAGGTGGCTGAGTGGAAGAACGTTTGCCTTTAAAACGTTAAGTCATAGGTTCGAATCCTGTGATGTACAAAATATTTTCTTAAAATTTAAAATTAGAGATATATAGTCTCCATCGATTTATTTAACATTAAGAGGATAGGAAGGTTGATAGAAAAAATAAATTTTAACATTAAGATGATGGGAATAATAAAAATTAACGTTAAGATTATACGAAAACGTTCATTTCTTGATTACGGTGATTATATATAAATGTTAATCCTTATTTGTTAAAATGTATATTTTAAATAGAAAAAAATAATTTGGTTTTCGTAATTTGTTAAAGGTCACTTAGGTCAGGATTCTCATTAATTACAATAATCTGGACACTCATTTTATATTTAAAAATGTTGAATGTTTTGGCAAAATTAATAATAATATTATGAGTGCGATATAAAATTCTCCTAAATAATCCTCTGTAGTTACCAATATAAATTTATAAATTTAAAGTAACACTTAAATTCGCACTAATAAATTTGTCTTCTCTAGAATGACGCATAATAACGGTGCCATTAATATATGATAATGATTTTAAGATTTTCTTCTATATGGACTCTAATTTAATGGTGTTATATTTAACAAATATAAACTATTCTATAATTATCTGCTTAATTTTATATCATATAAAATTGCTTAATAAACCAAAATAATGAGGCAAAAAAAAGCATCCATATTTAAATGGAAGCCTATTTTGTTAATTGACCATGTTCAACTTTGAGAAAAAATATATTGTAGCTTCATGGGAAACATTTTTTAATAAAAAAAATATTTTAAAATAAATTTAGAAATGTACATTTTTTTTCTAAAATTGATTAAATTAAATTAATGTCTTTTATTTCAAAATATTTAATGGTAGATGGCACTAATAATGCTTTTAAATTGCAAAACAGTTTTAGAAATTTTTGACCATATAAAATTCTCTGGATAGTAAACGAGTATTATAAATCCTTTGGGAATAGTAAAATCTTTTACAAGGGAAAAATTAAAAAATGTAGACAACTTAGTTTTAGGCCGGATAAAAGTTATCTTTTGGGGTTGTAGTTTAGAATAGATAGTGCCAACATTTTTTACTTAACGGGGAGAATTAAAAATTTCAATAACTTGATTTTTTAGCGAATAAAAGTTTTGGGTGGTAGATGGGTAACAAACCTTTAGGATTAAACTAATCCCTAATATTAGTCTACTACCCATAACTTTTTATCCACCCAAATCACAATTAAAAAAAAACATTTTAAATGCTTATCTGCAACTTGTGTAAATGATATGATATTATAAGCCATTTATAATGTGTATTTACTTCTTACAAACTATAAGATGTTAATAAAATTAAAAAAATTTAATGTCCATTCTTAAAAAATATTTTAATAAAGCTACAATAATTTTTAATGTTAAATACGTGAGCAATTAATAGAAGAAGCTTATTCTTAATCATTTAAAGATGGAAGTCTCCATATATTTTCATGATTTTTACAGAATGAATAACGAGTGAATAGTTCTATAACATGTATGGCCAAGGCTGCCGCCAATGCTAGTGAATGCAGGGGAGACTGGGGTTAGTCGAACCAATTTTTACAAAATTGGCTATAGCACTTGTTGTTTTATAGATAATATAAAAAATAATATATAATTGGATACCTAAAACTATACTCTATAAAGGTGCCTTATAAAAAATCTGAATATAATCATATTTTTTAATTTTTATTTTTTGTAAAAATGAAAATTTTAAAAATGAAAATTTTGTTCAACAAGCACCAATAGCGGGGTGAGGCAAACCACTTCAAGGGGTTTCCTAAACTATTTGTTTTTTAGGCCATAATAAATTGAAATGCATTTTTATTTATTAATAATGATATGTATAGAATAATTTTATTGTTTTATTGTTCAAAATATCATAATACTTATAAATTGAAGCTAATTATATATAAAAATTGAAACTTAATTTTGGCTAATTTAATTAACATTTTGGACATAAAAAAATATGAATTTTAAGGAGAGATTAAGATTTCTTAATATAAATCCTAAATACCAATCATAAACAGCCATGAAATTGCCTTTTCTAGAATTTGAAATTTTTTTCATTATTAATTGCCATAATTGACGTGTATGGTTTAGCAACCCGCTAGCTCTAAATTGACAAATCATGTTTGAAATAATATCTGGATTTGATAAATACTCATAAAACTTACCCAAATTATAGAAGAATGTTTAAACTTTATAATAAAATTTAATTTACAAATAAATGATTATATATTTTAATAAAAATTGAAATTCTGTCGTGTAAAAATCTTTTGAAAATTTTATCAAAATTTTATTTCTTAAATTTTAGTAATTAATTATTTCAAAATTTATTTTGTCCATAGATGTATACTAATGAAAACTATATTAGGATAAAATTTTAACCTTCTGGTGTATTTAATTTTAAAATGA